GCCTTTTTTTCTCTGAAAACCAAGTAGGAGACACCAAAACAAACAAGACAATGCACAACCTGAAATCGATAAGCTCATAATTTTTCTCAACACAAGCTCAGAAATAGTGCTTATGTTGAAACATGGGTAGCAGTCATAATAATCTTAGCCTGTATTTGTGTCAATCAGATAGAAAGCAGGAACACAAAGGTGCTTTGATCTGGCCGTCTGTACCGAATCTGGAGGTAATGTTAAAATGTTTGTTTATTTCCAATTTTCGTACGCCTTATAGCTAACACCCAAAAATTTGTAATGTTTTGCACAATGATTATGAGAATAGTGCTGTCCAGATATGCAGTTAATTAGGGGGTTGAATATGGCATTGGAAGAGGTACGTAGTCTGGGGTAGCAAGCATTTGACAGCAGCCTACGGAACCATACAGGAAACCAAAGACATCATTCTAGCTGAAAATAATAACGATATGGGTGCTGAAAATAATAACCATGCAACCACGAAACTAACGATGCTCAGATTATTACCTTGCTGCAGGCAGCCTTGAAATTGAAGCAGGATTGACCTGGTTTTTCAGCAAGCATGCTCTAATCATGCACCCAAAAAAAGAGTGTGTTTCTGAAGATTAGCTATCTGGAAAATTAATAACTATAGTGCATCAAACTATGTCGATGAGATTAGTTATAACATGGATAGATCGATAAGATTGTTTATTGCAGCTAAAAAAACCCTTAAATATTTATGTCGCTTTGAAACGTATAAACTGAATATATATCATCAACGGGGGATGATGTATATGCAGAGCCAAAACGTCTTAAGGTACAGCTGGTGGTACCTTGTCATCAAATCTATGGTCCATGAGCCTTATGGTCCTGGCAGGCTGCACCATGTCACAAAAACATATGTACATGTAGATGGGAGTCCTCCATGTATGCAGATGGCAGCCTGCAAAACAATAACAAATGCAATCAGTGCTTACCATGTAAAACCAAATTCGTGTACTCCGTCGCAGCAGCCCGATGGTAAGAAAATAAGCACAAAAGTAAACCACGCACGTGTTCCAAAGCAAGACAACAAATTGCATAGTGTGTAAACCTTTAGAATCACACACTGAAAAAAATTAAGGATGCAATCTATGCACTAAAAGTATGCATGAGGAATGTTTGGATGCAGGATGATTGTTTGCAGAGATTGGGGATTAACCTAAACATGAGGGAAATTGAAAGGAACCTGCGAACTAACGGTATCATCATGCTAAAAGTATTTGTACCTGTAAAAATTATCGCCTCAAAAATTGAAGTAACTTTTGAGAAATTGTACTTTCTCTGCATCATGAATGGGAGATGGTGCCTATCAGGAGCTACCTCAATTTTAGATGCTGGTGCCTATTGTGTATATTTTAGGTGGCGGTATCCATAAGTTTAATAAATCAATTTATCACCGAAAGGAGATGAGATATGTGCTTATTGTGTAGATTTTAGATGGCACTTCATGTTGCCCAAACAAAAAAATATCTTCTATGATCGGTCTTGGCAATAGTTTAATTCTTTCTATTGTAAAGGTCATATGGCATTTTCAGCAAAGAACAATAAATCATTATATCACCAAAAGGATGAGATCAACTATCTCTGTCGGTGTACATTTCATATGGGAGTTCATATTGGCCAAAGAAATAATATCTTATAAATTATAGAAGCAAGAATACTGTTCCACTAAATTATAGAAGCAAGAATAATTATCTCTACGGAAAAATGTAAGTAACTGCTAGAACTAAAACAATAAAGCAAGTAAAATCATAGCCTTTATGCATGTGGTGCCAAAGTTACAGGATGAAGCAGGGAAATAATAATAACACCAAGGTAGCATTGTTGAGGCATAATACATCAGATGCAGGTATATTACCTGTAGCCTGAATAGCTTCACACCAAGGATAACAAGGCGTTCAAAGAGGGATTGTGCTAACCCTGCACGGGTTTTTTTTTTGCACATGATGACTGGACCCAGATTGCAATGATCTCCGACAAGGACAACCTACAATTGCAAGATTATAAATAAAGGATAATAAAATAAAACAATAATTTTTTTTTGACCTGCTTGACACCAAGCACCAAAGGAATAAGGCGTTCAAAGAGAGATTGTGCTAACCCTGCATGGGCTGTTTTTTGCACATGATGAGTGGACCCAGTTGGCAATGATCTCCAACAAGGACAACCTACAATTGCAAGAGTATAAATAAATAAATAAATGATAATAAAATAAAGCAACAAATCTATATTTCTACCTGCTTGACACCAAGCACCAAAGGAATAAGACATCCAGGTTCTGTTGCCTGCGTGGACACATCAATAAGAACCTGACAATAAAGTTTACTGTTGACTCAGGATATATGACACAACAGGAATCATTGTTAACCTGAGACAGCAGGAGGTGATAATAATTGCTTGTCGGAAACGGAAGTCTGAAAGACGAGGATCTCCAGCACCAACACAGGTGCAACAAATGACATCGGCACTCTGCAGTATCTCTCTTTTAGTGGCACACCTTAATGCCTTGTACTTCTTCTCATCACTGCTGGACAACTCACCTACAATAGTATAATATGCTTGTAAGAATACTCACTCAATAATATCTGCACATCACATCCGTCAAAAATGCTTGATTGTGGCACAACGGTATCACAATATTTAAACATGGATCACGTTGTTCATCTTTCAGCTGCTGTAGCTTGTGCAGTTCAGAGGTATCAAGGTGCCTAACCTAGATTTTACATAAGCATCAGTGACATTCATAGCAAGATTAATCTCCATAAAAGCAACAAAAGGATGTACCAGATAATGAAGTGTCAGATGCTCAACAGGAGACGAAACGACTTCTCTAGATTTTGCATACAACCTAACAACCTGTAGCACGTAATCGAAATTAATAAAAAAATTGACTAAATACCGAATCAATATCAGGATAACAGCATCAACAGAAGTTGGAACTGAAAAGGTGAGCACTGGAATGGCGAGTTTTGTTCTTTATCATGCTATGATTATTCACAAATTGTTAGTTGAATATCATTATCATATATTGCTGGAGTACTCGTGACCAAAGCTGGGTACTGCAGTCAACCATACAGACAATGCTCGGTTAATCCTCCAAACAGCTTTGGCATACAACTATAAATATAAAGCAAGTTGCCGAACCGCAGAAATTTAAATAAGATTTCAATGATACCTTGAGGCCGGTTGAGCTCATCTTCTCTGCCAGCTGATCAATAGGAACATCACTTGGGGCACATACAAGACCCTACAAATTTGACAAAATTAGACATCAGACAATTGTCCCTAAATATATCACCAAATCAAACTGCACACTTTTAGCAATCCTACTATGCCTGTCCTTGACCTTGTTTTGCCATGTGATACACAATTGCAGCAGATTTGACAGTTTTGCAGTACCAGGTGGACCTTGAATCAAACTAACTGGCCTCTGCAGGACACTTTTAGTTGCTAAAACCTGAACACACACCAAATAATACAGAAGAGAACACCAGATCAAACAGTCAATAATAATATACACAGATCATAACAGCAACAAACTTGCAAACCTGCCCAGTGATCTATATTGTTTGAATTGGTAACAAATATATCGTAGTTTCTCTAACAGTATGGCTACGTACGCTAAATTTGAAGGATCGAAATGTTTTTCTAGCGCGAATCAGAGGGCAAAAGCGAAATTACAAAATAAGAGGAAACTTGTAGGATTATCTAAAACACAAGAGCGCAGAACCAATAGATGGGAAGAAGACCTAACAAGAACCGCAGGCAGCATGTCATACGACGCAATAACAAACTGATTCAATAGGTCATGCCAGACTCAGGTAAAACAAGTTACATGGAAAAGAAAAAACAACTGAATAAGCACAGACATGACAAAGGGGCTTACTTTGTAATATCTGCCGCCACCGCCACTGCTGAGGCTGTAACATTTTCAGCTGCCAATAAGCATAGTGGAGACGGGAAGGGCTCGCGCTGGATCCGCCTGCTCGCCGCAGATCCACCGCCTCCGTTGGCTACGCGAGGTCCACGCCGTGCACCAGCTTCGGATCCGCCGCCGGGAGGGGCCCCGCGAGCGGCCGCTCTAGATCCACCGCCGAGTTTGCTGACGTGACCTCCCCGTCGTCATCCACGGCCACCACGGAGGTTCCTCCGCCGCCAGAGCCCTCCAGCGCGTCAGGGCCTCCGCTGACTGCCCGCGCGCCCGTGGGGACGACCGGCGACGGAGGGGCGAAACCCTAGGCCGCGCGACCCGCTGCCTTGCGTCGCGAGGAGGAAGTGGCGTGGTGGTGGTGGTGGTGGAGGAGGAGGAGGAGGAGAAGGAGGAGGGAGGCTGCCGCCGCGCGGAGGGCCGGCCACTGCCGAGGTCATCCCGCGCCGTCGCCTGAGCCGCGTCGCGAGTCGGGAGCGAGGGAGGGAGCGTACAGGAGAGAGGGAGAGGAGGGGATGAGAAGTTTCTTGAAGAAGAATCAGGAGCTGGAGTATATATTTGCTCCACCGGATTCGCACAAGAAGCCGAAGAAGCTAGCAAAATCAATATAGAGCGACGAGGAGGCAGAAGAAGCAGATTCTAAAGGAAGCGGCTACAAGCACTCAGGGCCACACGATGGCGGATCCGACGGCTTGGAACAATTTGGGTGACGTGGATGCTGCGAGAGGCGGCCAAAGTAACAGAATCCGCTTCGAGTGATCTGGGCCTTCGAACGCGAGATCGGACGGCGTTGGAAATTTCGGGCGACGTGGATGGCCTGGTTGGCGGCTAAACCTCCCTGCTTTGAGAAGAAGAAATACGAGTTCCAATGGACTCCGTAGAAGGCAACCATGACACGGAACCCTACCGTTGACTTCTGAAGGGTTCCTGATCTGTGATCTATAATAAGGTGGCAGGATGAGATCTCTGCCCCTTCATCTGTTGTAGTTGCAGCTCCAGCAGCAGAAGAGCAGAGCCAGAGCTCCAGCCTCCAGCAATGGCCGAGAAGGGCGTGAAGGTGTTCGGGATGTGGGCGAGCCCTATGGTGATCAGGGTGGAGTGGGCGCTCCGGCTGAAGGGCGTCGAGTACGAGTACGTCGACGAGGACCTCGCCAACAAGAGCGCCGACCTGCTCCGCTACAACCCGGTGACCAAGAAGGTCCCCGTGCTCGTCCACGACGGCAAGCCGATCGCGGAGTCCACCATCATCGTCGAGTACATCGACGAGGCCTGGAAGGGCGGCTACCCCATCATGCCAGCAGACCCCTACGAGCGTGCCCGGGCGAGGTTCTGGGCCAGGTTCGCAGAAGAGAAGGTACGCGCAAACTGCAGCCACATGATTCGTCTACTCTGTTAGTCTGTTCGATGCAGGGCAGGCAGGACCCAGTCAGTGACAGGATTGATGTCTGTCGTCTACTCCAGTGCAACGCTGCTTTGTACCCGATCTTCACCACGACCGGCGAGGCGCAGCGCAAGGCGGTGCACGAGGCCCAGCAGTGCCTCAAGACCCTGGAGACGGCCTTGGAGGGGAAGAAGTTCTTCGGCGGCGACGCCGTGGGCTACCTCGACATCGTCGTCGGGTGGTACGCACACTGGCTCCCCGTCGTCGAGGAGGTGATCGGCGCCAGCATCGTCACCGACGAGGAGCTGCCGCTGATGAAGGCCTGGTTCGACCGTTTCCTCGCCGTTGACGTGGTGAAGGCGGCGCTGCCCGACAGGGACAGGCTCGTCGCGGCCAACAAGGCCCGCCGTGAGCAGCTCCTCTCCGCATAGATGGCTAATAATTCTGGAGCAGCTAGCTTCAGTAGCTGAATAAGGGCTGGTTGCACTTAGCACGTTGTGCAGCCGAGGTTTGGATGACCTCTGTATCTGTTCCATTTCAGAATTCAGTTTTCTTGTTTTTTATAAGGCTCAATATGGTATGCCTACTTGCTCTCCAGTCCCCACAAGCCACAATATTCACTACGGGATACAGTAGATTTGCCGAGTGCCAGGACCCCAAAACACTCGGCAAACGCTTTGCCGAGTGTAACACTCGGCATACAGCACACGGCATTGATTTGTCGGCAAACAGTAGTTTGCCGAGTGTTTTTTATCGGGCACTCGGCGAACAGTTTGCTGAGTGTCAATAAACACTCGGCAAAAATAAACTCTCGGCAAATAAAATTTGACGGGATGGAACGGTGACGTCGATTTTGCCGAGTGCACAACGGAAAAACACTCGGCAAAGTTTCTCAAGTTTGTCGAGTGTCATGACGAAAACACTCGGAAAAGTTTCTCAACTTTGCCGAGTGTCAACACGAAAACACTCGGCAAAGTTTTTCAAGTTTGTTGAGTGTCAAGACGAAAACACTCGGCAAAGTTTGTAAACTTTGCCGAGTGTATTCCAATGGACACTCGGCAAAGTTTAGACACTTTGCCGAGTGCCATGCCTAAAACACTCGGCAAACAAGCGAGCAACGGTCAGATTTTATGGTCACTTTGCCGAGTGTCCATTGGAATACACTCAACAAATCCAAAACACTCGGCAAAGAATGTTCTCAGAATGACAGAAAATGGTCTCTTCGCCAAGTGTTTTGCCTTGACATTCGGCAACTCATCTTTTTGCCGAATGTTACACTCGGCAAAGCGACCAAGACCCCCCTTTTTCACTATAACGGACCCCTCTCAATTCACAAAAAACCATGACAATTCACAGTAAAACATCATCACAGGCATAATTATATGTCACAGGTATAATAAACCATCATCATAATTCACAATCAACCTCAAGTCACAATAAACCATCATCACAATTTACAATAAACCATCATCACAAGTCACAACTAAGTCACAATAAGCCACAAATGCAAATGCAATCACTACGTAGGCCCTTGGAACCTCTGCGACAAATTTGGGTCTTGAGACTGGTTATTTGATGCCGCCGATTGATTCTGCACAAAAGAGAAGTATTCGAAACAGTGTTAGCTTCCTTTTTAACAGTGTTAGACTTCATATTGCAAAGTGAATGAAAGGTGTGCATCTACAGCATACTGTAATTGTAATCACAACATTCAAGACTAATGCAACACTTAAATTCGTGCTATGCACACAGCAGGCTAATATGTGTTATGCAGTTTCAGAAAGAGGGGGGAGGGTAGACCTAAATATAGAGGAAGTAACATGTGACCAAGTCCAATATATGACTAGACTAAGTCATAGATACACAAGGAAAATGTCTCAAGATATATTCAGGTATATTGGCTACTGAATTTCTGCACTTGGATATGATCAGAAGATATTTATTCCAGTCAACTACAATGTGGAAACATCCAAGTTGCATTTAGTGGTCTCCAATATTCAACTTGGATGAGGACATACTGAAAACTGACCAATCAACTAGTTGGTCTATGGCACTATGCACAAGCATGACACATGTTGAAAAGAAGAGAACTGAAAGGAACTCCATTGTTTTCAGTTACCATCACTACAACTTGCAGAATAATTTTGCCTGTTCCATGACGATAGACTGAAGCCAGAACTTATATCCATTATATAAGAAAAACAACTTGCAGGCAATGGAGTAGTCATCAGGTTTAATCGGAGGGACTATTATCATGATGTGGACTGGTGAGACTGTTTACATGTCCTGACTGCTAGGCACAGCAAAGCAGTTCAAATGCCAGTTAACACTTAACAGGGAATATGGGTTTATATTATTGTAACAACCTTCTTGAATGGTGATTCAGCTCAAATTCAAACTCAATTCTAAGGTCTTCATAAGAAAGCCTGAAGCAGATAAAGGATAAAATATTATTAAGAGCAGAGATAACAGTACGTCAAATTCCAAGAAAAAAAAGACCATAAAAAAATTTCAAGCCAGCACTCATGCTTCTTTAAGGTTCTGTTTGTAGCTTTTATTCATTATTCTTCACAGTCATCGACTACACAGTGGCGCACCCATCACAGTTAGTCATATATGGCTGCCTCCTCACCGTCGGCGTGCAGGTGCTAGCTAGCGCGGTGCCCTCAGCTAAGCTGAATCTCTCCAGCGTCACTGCAATCATCAGCCATGTCTGCAACGCCATCCACCAGATTACAACCGCACTCAAAGGCCAAGGCGCTGGGGTGAGCGGGTTTGAACAGAGGAGAGCATGTCCATGCAGATCAAAATGCCTTCCAAGTCCGGTTATTTTTGCTAACAAACATATTGCAGGTGCAAGCGAGGATTTGACAAGAGCCCGAAACATAGCGCAGGTGCAAGCGTCAAATCAAACATTGAGACCAACCACAACAAACATTCAATCTGCAGTATAAGGTGTCAAGTGACTCATAGGAGTAGTTGTGGATGGCTGAGGTGAAGGGAATAGCATCGGTGGCGGTGGCAAATGTTGACTCATACTCGATGCAAAATTCTGCATGTATTGGAACATTTGGTCATCCTCAACCGATTTTCTTCCTCCATCCTCTGTCGCTCGGCCACCATCCTTGCCTCCATCTCCTCCATCCTCGCCTCCATCTCCTCCCGTTGCTTCATTTCTGTTTCCACCCGGGCCTATAACATTTCATCCCAATGTTACAATGCAAAGCTAAAATACGTAACAATCAACGAACGATGAATAAAACAGAAATAACCTGAAGAGTCTCCATCTGGAACTGTGTAGCGGTTGGCCGTGGGCGTATCGCTGGGCTCACGCTCGTGCTCCTTGCTCGGATCTGAGAGAGAGTGGGAGTAGAGGCCGTGTCGAGTGTACTGTCGCCAATCCAGTACCGGCCATGTTTCTTGCTTCCTCCCACCCTTATCACGATTTCTCCATCAAGATCCTGGATGCTCGGATCGAACTGTGACCCATGAACCTACCTTGCCATCGCTGTATACTCACTAACGCGGCTGTGGATGTTGGGATCGCTGTACGTCTCGGGCGGGTCCTCCGGGTTGAAGTCGATGTTTGCCGTCACCTTGCCCTTTTTGGACAGAACCCATGCCTTCAACTGGGAGCAAGGCTGGCCATCATGTGACGACTGCGGCAAAAATACAAAATGATTAGAAATTATGCAGAATTGAGAGTTAGAATAAAGAAATGAATTCGCGTACTCATTTTTCCCGGTATTCGTCGAGGCTCGGGCTGCCTTGATGGTGTGATGCACGTGGCATTAGCAAACACCTGTCCCGGCAAGCGTTGTGCGTCTCCACCCACCCGAGCTCTAACCACTTGTCCACCATGTATTCCCAGCACTGGACATGCTGGCGCACCAGTACGGAGGCACCTACGTGATCAAGTGTATGACATGAAAAAGTAAAATTAAGCGTAATTAATCTCATAAAAAGTAAGTATTAATGTTCTATATTTACCTGCAAAAATTGTTCCCGGGTCAGGTTCATTGTTCTTGCCTCTTCTTTTTTAACCTTCATCCGTCTGTGTTGAGCGTAGTAGTCGATGATGGGCTGGACGCGCGCCTTGTAGTGCATGTCCTTCACGAGCTTCTTGGTGGCTTCTTCAGAGATGGAGGCCGCCTTGGCCTCGTACCCCTCCTGGCATCTGTAGAAGTCCTGCATATAAACGCGATGTATACAGTCATTACTTCAAGAATGTCCAGTGAATGTGATGTGCCATCACGATCAGCGGCGTCGAGGGCGTTGACGTAGTGGTCCCACGTGTAGGCCGGCTGCAGCTCTTCGCGGAACTACACTAAGCCAGGGAAGTGTAGCCTGCACAAAAGGCCAAGGATGCCGTTGACCTTACGGTTGTGATCACCCCCACTGACCTTAATCCAACCCCTGCCCAAGTTATTAAGATAAATTATTAGTTTTCATTGTAATTTTCAACATATCAAATGAAAAATTATTGAGAACATCTAAAGTTACTTACTTTTTCCTAGAGGGTCGAATCATCGGGCGTCTCTCAAGAGGTATCGGTCGCATCGGGAGGGTCGAGGGACCTCGCAACCAGACCTCAGGACCCACTGCATCCTCCTCCACCTGCTCCTGCTCCTCCTATACCTCCTCGTCACTAGAGGTGTGCGCGGAAGGTACCTCCTCCTCATCACCAGAGGCATGCGTGGAAGGTAGCTCCTCCTCAAACGACGACGAGGGAGCTACAGGCGATGGGGGCCTCGCCCCTTTACCCTTCCCTTTACCCTTCCCTCCACCCTTGCCTCGACCCCTCCCTTGACCTTTCCCTGAAGCTGACCCTGAAGCTGGCATCTTTCCGTAAAGCACTGCGATCTTCCTCGTACCGCCCACCATTGTTCAATCACCTACAATTAAAAAGAGTAAACCAATCAGCACAGATAAACAAAACATACTTAGAAAGATATGACAAATAATAAATAAATTAGTACGGCTCATACATGTATTAGAAATAATCATCATGATCGGGATTAGCTGGATCATAAGTCTCATTATCACTATCACGCGTGTCGATATAATCATCATGATCGGGAATGTCGTCATCACTGTCATTGCCTAAATGTAATCGCTGAAGTAATTCTAAGTCCTTCACATTCTGAACCTTGTCTCCAGCGTCCTCGTCAGCAACCCTTTCATTGTCTACTTCCATTCCGATCGCTTCGGTTAAGTCTATCTCAAAACTCCCTTCGAGCCCATCTTCTCGGAAGAACTCTCCGTCATATGTGTTGGGGTCTATGTTGTAATCCTCATTGTTTGGTACAGGTAGTTTACCGTGTGGCGATACCTTATACACAACATCCCAACCCTTAAGACGGTCGCCGGTTTGGCACGGGTATGAGAGATAATAAACTTGCGTGGCCTGTTGAGCCACAATATAGACATC